ACTCTCTCTAACGGTTTCAACATAAACTGTACCGAATATAAATACCTCACAATGTCTATCTAATTATGAACTTGCTTTACTTTCACNTTATAGATCTAACTACATTTTCAATAGGGATTTTAGTAGTTTTCTTAGTATTTTATCAACGTTATTGCACAAAGAAAAACCTTGCAACAATCTCGTTTATATTATTTGTTTTCAAGGAGGTGTTAAAAGTCTTTTTACTTGTCGTTTTTTTAAAAGTTTGTTTCAAGGCATTGAATTTGAAACTTAGTTAACAAATCCATGACAGTCACCAGCTTCTAATTAGCCTCACATCAATTTTTGGCTAACATGCTCACGTGCCGTCTATCTATCCTGATCTTCTACTACAATCAGATTGTTCTTTGTAATTGAGGGAGAACACATTTATTCAACATTTGCCTGAAGTTCAGCAGTATAAGCTTAATTTATTAGCGTAGCATTTTATAATACTGCCCTTTTTTAAATGTTCTTCTTACCCTCTCCAGTATTGTTGCATGTTGCATGTGAGATAATGATCAAATAGTTATTGAGGAAAATCAGGCAGACACATTTAGAATTGTTATCATTCCAATCCTCTCAACACATTTTTCGTAACTATAAGTGATTGGGTTTTATTTGAAGTTGAATATATTTGTACCGATGTATCAAACCAGGTGTTGTTAAACTTATTATTTTCTTCAAACCTTTCCTCTGCAGGGTTCTCCTGTTGAGATGTAAACTGGGAGTGTTGCAGTACACCGTAGTAAGACCTATCACAACAGTGATTGCCTTGTAAGTAATCTGTGCTCTTCATGCCCTTCATTTTATGCTGTGATACCAATCTAAGCTTCTTGTTCACTATTTTAACGGATGTACGATTTCACTCTTTCTTCTCCTTCCTAGAATCTGTCAGCTGTGTGGAGTTTATGATGAAGGCAATTTTAGTTCGAAAAATGCATGGACGTACCTGGTCATCTTCAACAATATGTCACAGCTGGTAATACCACTACTGCTTCTTGAGTTTTAGTAAAGACTGCGTCTGGGACTGCAATAAAAGATAATGTGCATGTTTAAAATTGCGTATCTGGAAATAGATTTCTTCTCTTGATCTAGTTTGCCATGTACTGTCTGGTGCTCTTCTACCGGGCTCTGAGAGAAGAACTCGGTCCAATCAAGCCAGTGGGAAAATTCCTATGTGTCAAAATGGTGGTGTTCGTCTCTTTCTGGTAATTCTCCGTGTGTTCAAAATGATTTATCACATTGACATTTTTGGAATAAATACTTTGTATGTTTTTACCTTGTTTCTAGAAATGACATATGTTGTTGAAGTAAGCTTGCAGTCTCTGGATCTACAGCCATGAGAATAATAATTGGTTATTGTTTAACTCTTCTAGGCAAGCTGTGTTCATTGCTTTGCTGGTAAAAGCAGGCGTTATCTCAGTGGACAGTACATGGGACTGGAAAAGTGTGGAGGCTATAGCTACTGGCTTACAGGTAAGCTAAAGCAAATCTGGGTAATTGATAACTATTAAACTATGAGAATAACTTCATGTTCTGGGTTTGATCTTAGTGTCAAAATTATGGCACATAAAGAAAAAGTCATACTATTAGTACAATTATATGGCCTCTTCACTTCACTTTTATCTGTGTGAAACCTAACCAACCAAGTGTTTTTCTCAGGATTTCGTCATCTGTGTGGAGATGTTTCTGGCAGCCATTGCCCATCACTTCAGCTTCACCTACAAGCCGTACATCCAGGAGGCTGAGGAGGGTTCTTGCTTTGACTCTTTTATGGCAATGTGGGACGTTTCTGATGTCAGGGCAGACATTTCTGAACAAGTCCGCAATGTTGGTAAGTGTCCCCTGATTACCATAGTGCTTCCACAGCTGTAAATGAAATGATCTGTTCGATAACCTCCAATATCGAGAGAAGGGTTAAGATGTTTTGTGTCCTTATCTACAGGCAGAACAGTTATGGGTCGTCCCAGGAAGTCCTACTTCGGTGAGGCGCAGCAGGATGGGGAGCGATCTGGCCTGCTCTCCTCGGCCTCCCAGGATGCCATCACAGAAGCAGCAGCCTACCCTGTCTCTCCCAATGGTCAGTACCAGGGTCTGGGCAGAACCCCCACACCTCACTCCCGGTCGGCCCCCGCTGGGCTCAGCTCGGCCCCCTGGGACGAAGGATATGAAGCTGAACCTGAACCTGAAGCTGAAAAAAGCCAGGAAGGGGGAAGGTCCGACCAAACCAAAGAACCAGCTGAGGCAGATCTCATCGAGATCACCTAGCCTATCGTTACGGCCGATGTTACTAATCAGACATTGTTGGGCGGGACCCAATCACAGCCTTGCCATGTTACTTCAGACGTTACTGTACTGATGCAGTATTAAATAAATTGCTGTTTGAAGGGCACATCAACAAAGTAATAGAAGTTTGCAAATAAATGCAAAGTCAGATGGACCTCTCTCCCAGTGACGGCTCCAAGAATGTTCACTGAAGGTATGGCACTAAATGATTTTTCTTTTTTAAAAGCATTTTACGCAGTTCCGTTGTACTTAAGAGTTATGGCACAGTAGAAGAAAGATTTTAAAATGAATTGTTATTGGGAAATTCCAGTTTATTTGAATGTGTCTCGAAGCATACTGTCGTGTGTGTTGCGATAAGACGCCAGTTAACCCTTGCTGAACTCTGATCCAAGCTTGGATGAATATCCTTTCCAAACAGGAAATTGCTACTTTTTTTGTGTCAAAACATGACCTCAAATGTTACAGTTGGGTGATTAAGTGAAATATGCAATGTTACTAAATGTTTTCCTTATTCTATATCTTACTTTATAGGGATTTCAGAGGACATTGATTGAAATAAGTAATGTTACATTGTAGTATCTACGGTACTAAAGCACATTAGATGTCCAGAATCCTCTTATTTAGTTGGCCCTAGTCCGTAAAGTCCCTGTACCCCAGAGGGAAGGGATTAAATAGCAACACACTTTGTTGATGCACATTTGAGACTAAACGGTCTCATGCAGTAATTAACTACTGACTAGTGCTGAAAGATGTGTCCTGACGGAATACAAAACAATATATTTGTTTGAGTTTGAGTATATACTGGATGTACAGTCTGAGTATTAAGACAACAAACGCAATTCAATCACTGGTTAATTCCCCAACAGTGCTTAATGCACACAGCTAACTGAAACATGTGATGCCTTGTTACATGTGCCGTGGAACTACTGCAGCCACTACATCAACACAGCCTTTATATTCCATGATCTGTTTTATTTGATGAGATGTTACCTTTGATTTGAGCTGGAATGACCATGTCTTGTCTTCTTCTTTTGTCAATGTTGTTACATGATTTATTTTGAGCAGGGATATTGAAATATTTAATGCAAGTGTATGATATCAGTTTGTCCGAAAAAAGACACAAATGTATGGAAATATCAGCATAACCTGCATCATGTCTGACTAAAGCACATTGCCTTATATCATTTTTGTTCTTCAATAAAACTGACAGGATGACATCAGAGCTGATGTAAATGATTCCACATTTAAATTCTGACATTCTCTTCAATAAATCAGATAAATTACAAATTCTTTTGTCTTGCATTTATTAAGAAAAATGACATTAATTCTTTAACTTTTTTAAATTGATACCAACATACAGCTTTACAAAAACAACTGTTTCCATAATCAAGGGACATCTATAATATTTATATACTTACAAATAATATATTTATAAGTACAAGTTTAAATGTCCTATTATTTTATGGCACAATGTAGAAATAAAAACATGACTTAAAGTGTGATCGTTACAGATGCTTTAAGAAGGGGATGATTCCCCAATGGCGTGGCTCATGTAGGATTCTACTAAAGCTCAAAACAGAAAAAACGTTGAAGACAGGTTTTTACATCGATGGAAAACGACGCTACAGAAGTTGGATCTTTAAATGTAACCAGAAAATCACTGCATAGTGTTTAATGCACTTCCCTATGAGCCTCTATTTAATTGAGGGTAAACATACATCGAAATGAAACTTAATTGCTAAAATACGGTGAGAGATTATTGTTCCATTGGTCCGGGGGGATTCTCTATGTGTGCTGATATGGAGATGGCACTCTTCTGAAGCTTCACAGCGAGGCGCACCCAGTCTCCGGCCTGCACCCTCAGAGGCTGCTGCAGCACCACGGCCGCCTGCTTCCAGTGGGAGTTCTGGCTGAGGGTGCTGACGCTGATCTCCTGGTCCAGGTGGATCTGGTACCAGAAGGGAATGGCTGTAACTCTGCCTGCCGACGTCGCCTGGACCTGGGAAACAGGGATTATTGCTTTATAAGATGCTAAACTGTACAACTATATCATATTTAATATAATGTATGCTGCAGCATTACCATGAATTACATCGCAAGTTAGAAACAGTGACACAGTGACACATAACAAATTAAAATGAGATTATGTTTTTTTTATAATCCACATAGAACAATTATTTTAGCATTTTTAACCACTCCCATGTTTTCTTTTGTGTTGCCATCAATTAGTCTCTCTCCGTTGGTGCGCTGGGCTAATGCTAATGCTAATAATGCTAATGATGCTAATGCTAATAATGCGAGCAAATAAAATCGCGGCTTCACAAAAAGTTTTCAGAGTTTTACGGGGCGTGGCTTGCAATTCGCCCAGCCAATCAGAAATTGGAACCTTTTCCTCCCCAGGAAAGTCCCACCTCTCTAGCAGGCACTACAAAGGGGTGAAAAGGTTCGCAAAAATATTTTTGGTGTGAACGCAAAATCCCAGGAACTATCGGGAAAAGTACTCCGGTGTGAAAGCGCCTAAAGTTTTATATTTTTGTTTTTAATTTTGCAAAAAAAATTAAAATAACATTTAGGAGGAGAGCGGAGTTTATTTATGGAAGATCTGCACAGTTACATCTTCAGGAATCAGGAATGAAGTATTTCTAGGTTTTTCGGTGATGTATGTTTTTGTACCTGAATGTAACCATGGCATTTTTTGGCTTGGAGAGTCAGTACATGCATTTAAGTTTCAGCAGCTCAGGACTGTTTAACCCCAGTACTTAAAAAAGAGAAGACCTTTTTCAAGAGTCTAATTATTTCAATAACAATCACATCACTAATTAGGCTAATTAGTTTCTTACCTTTACTTCTCTGTTGGTGTAGTTGGCGGTGGATTCCATCAGGTCCAGAACAAAGAGCTCCACAAACTCACTGAGATGCCTGCACTCCAGTGTAGAGAAGTCCAAAAACACATGTACCGGTACCTAAAGACATAAAAGATCAAAGCAGCGTTAGTCAGTTGTTTTCAGCAGATAAAAGAAAAGCCTATCTGATGACGTTATCAATAAGGAACTACATCATATGAAAACCAATAAAAAGACCAGGGAAGAAGTTCTGACAGAGATGTAAAACAAAACAGGTGCTCCTGATGTTTCAGTTTTGCACAAACTTTAAATCAGTGAAGGAATGGATTCACACCATAACATAAACACAGGGAACACTGCTTCATTTTAGTGAACAAGTATAAAATACTTTTTGTGGCTTTATTTTACAATTTTTAACCTCAACGAAACAGTTGATTTGAAGCCAATTAACTGCTGTTCTGACACTATATACTTATGGTTGCACTTATTGTAAGTTATTTTGGATTGAACTATCCGCTATATGAGGGGATGGAAAAACGAAATAAATATTCTTTTAGAATTGTTGGCTCATGGTACAGATTTTTACAAATGGAAAAGGTTTTCAACTTTAAAAAAGGAACACTGCTGCAGTTTGTTAAATATAACACAGCGGCTGACTCTTTCTCCCAAACCATTATTTAGCTTTAATTGCCAGTCTCAGAGAATAATCACTCAATCACTGATTAATGCTCGAAAACAAATCTTCTACCTTGAACTCTTGACAACTTGAGAAACAGGCCGTGGCCGCAGGGCGACACACTTAAAAGCTGAGGTATAAACCAAAGTGGCAGCGCAGAAAGTGTCACAGTTTCCTTTACTGCAGAACAAAAGAATGTTTCCCCCTGCCCGTCACAGTTTGTGTAGAGCTCAGAGCTCTCTGTTTGATGTGCTTGACGTAATGTATACTGATGGATTCAGGTAGGAAAGTCTTGGGCCAAGCTGTGTGTTGTGTCTTGTGTGACAGTTGTGCTAGAAAGTGCCCTCCACTGAGGGCTTCAAAGACAACATCTGTTAAAACAAACCGTCCCGAGTGGGGCATGCTAAATTAGAGCACAAACATGATGCTGGAAAAAATATATAATTTCCAGACCAAATAAAGAGAAAGAATTCAAAGGGATTTTGCAGCTTCTATATCGCAGCTGGGAAGCACACATCAAAGACGAGTGCACAACACAAAACAACGTCCTGGACCTTAGTATTCCAAGAGAAATACCTGCTTCAACACAAGACAACCCAAACATGGCGGGAAACACAATAAAAAAGGATTTCACACCTTTATAGTATTGCACTATATGTCTGTCATATTTAAAAAAAACTCACAAGCAACACTAATGGGCAGACTAAATGAGAATGATGCAAGCTTACAAACACAGCGCAGGTGAAAACTGGCGCTATTGACTGTTGTTGCCTCAGGAACATGAGACAGAATACAAGATAAGAGCAGGCTGAGAAGCACAACAGTAAGATTCTGCAACTTCTGTTATAAAGACTGACACAGTTGTACCTTTGAGAGGGTCTAAGTGAGTCTAAATGGGATTTCTCATTCATTATTTGGTTGATAATATTTAAAACCACTATTTAGTAAGAACAGATCTTTTGAATAGTTCACAGTAACGTTTTTGCTGGTTATTTATACATGTTTATTATACTTCTTTTTTTTATTCCTGTGTATATTCCATGTGTAATATCTGTTTTTCTTCTTATTCTGTTGCTACCATGACACGTGAATGTCCTTACGGGGATAAAACAAAGTCCATCTTATCTTTAACTTTTTCATCAAGAACAATCTAGTTTGAAATTGAAAATATGCTACTTAGAATATCAGCCCTTATGCAATATTTTCAGCAACTGCCAAGTCGATTTTTCCCTGTGCAGCGATCCTTTTTAAATACTGTTTCATTAAAAAAGAAAAGACATGCTTAACAAATATGAATGAAGTTGCTGGACTTCATAATCTGCAGAACAGTTCTCCATCATCATTTGTTCTGCTCGGTTCTTTGTTGCCCAAGATGTGCTTGATTCTCTGTATTTTCGCACACAGGTGATCTACCATTACCATCCTTTGCTGGCTGTCTCAGTTAAGGTAGCCTAAATCTTTGTGTTTCTCAAAGTGAAAAGGAAACAATCCAAGCAATCCAGCAAAGGTAAAAGCACACACATGTTGTTCTTGATACACGATAGCGTTTCTACTCACAGTGAACTGGTTGATGAACGGAGCGATGTTGAACCCCAGCGTCGCCTCCTGACCCTGGACGGCACTCTCCAGCAGCAACGTGTCCGACTCCACCAGAATACCCTGCACCACGATCTTTGCAGGGAAAATACTTCCTCCGTCTTCCAGCAAACACCTAGCATAGATCATAGAAATACATTTAACAATAAAATACATAAAAACATATCACAACTAGGGCTCAACGATTAATCGATTTTAAATCGAAATCGCTATTTTAAATGATTTGATTATCAAATCGTAAAGCCTGCGATTTTTTTAACTTTTTTTTTTTCCTTTTTGTGTGTCAGTCATCCACACCAATCAGAAGTGCTGTGCTCCACATGTACCAGCCATAACAATGGCTGGTACATGTGGAGCACAGCACTTCTGATTGGTGTGGATGACTGACACACAAAAAGGAAAAAAAAAAAGTTAAAAAAATCGCAGGCTTTACGATTNACAAACCTGAAACCCATAGAACAGCTGTACAAGAGAGCTATCCAGGTGTTTGACAGAAAGCCAAATTCAGACCACCACTGTACCATCCTGGAAAAACACCATTGACCATTTAAAGCCCAAGGGGAATTCATCCACAAGAAACACACTGGACGCTGGACTAGGTCAGAAACCAGAGGAGACTGTGAAGTCCACCGTAGATGGACCACTTTTGGACAAAATGTCCATTAAAGGCAGCTCATTGTGGAATAGCCTCCCAACTGAGATACGGGATTGTCCCACTCTCAATAGTTTCAAAGGTTAACTCAGAGAATGGTTGAGAAACACACAGACGTGCAATCACCGCTAAATGCACTTTAACACAGGGGTATCTCCTCTTGCACTTTATATGTTGTTGCTGCTATATTGTACCATGTCATAAATACTTGTGTATGCTGCACTTGCTCTTTTGCACCTTTTGCATTTCATGTATTTTGTTTTTGCTATTCTTGTAAAATGTTATTTTCTTAAATGTTTTATGTGAGGGACTGCGGATGGAAATGAGCTCAAAGCTAAATCTGGCACTGTTACGCTTGACACATTTTAATGTTTTAAGTGTTCATTAATGTGCATTGTCCCTGCCAAATAAACGATTCAAATAAAGACGAAAATAGCATAAAAGTAAATGAAATTACTTGGAACAGTTATTATTAAGTAGACTAACAGATGAAACAAGGGTCTGCACTTCTCTGTGCACACAAAAAGGAAAGGACTCGCATCCCTTTTCATCTCTTTGCCCAAGTAATTAGACTTTTAAGTTCGAAGCAAATTATTTTACCCTCATTTGTGTTGAGTGTAAACTTCTGAAAGCACTTTCAAAGAAGACGTTTCTCTCATTTCCAGCCCTCTGAAAGAAAACGAGCCAGACAGAGACACATTTCTCTGTGGCAAAAGAAGTGACCCATATAATATTAAACTCTAAGGAGAGTCACAGAGGAGTGTCTCCTTGCATTAGACCACAAGTCCTCAGATCCTTTTCTCACAGAAAGTGTCTGATTGATGGTTTCAGATAGAAGGGAAGACATGAAAATGACTGCTTCTTGCCCTCTCATTATCCAGTTATATTTCTAATGTGCATCTCCCGTATTTAATGCGGTATCGCTGACAATCTAATACCTGTTCATGAGAGACCTTTTTGATGGTATAAGCAGCTTGATTACCACTTTAAAACTTTAAAAGCATTGAAGATATGTATGTTTTATGTATATATGTATGTCCACACATACAGAGGACGGTGGAGGGGGAGGGAAATGAAAATTCAAGAGCTTTAGAAACCGAGAAAAACTGAAAACAAGAGCTACAATACTTGGCTTCATGGTCGAACCAAAACAAGATCAAAGGAACCTGTGTTTTTAAGGCCGTCTGTTTAGGTCTCCTCTGCGTCAATACATATTTCATCGGGCCTCAACACAGCGAGGCAGGAGCATATTCTATCACAAAGACCTCTGAACACATTCCCACGTGGACGCTGGACAACACAAAGCAGCTCAATTGTCTCGACTCTGGGGTTGGGGTAACAAGTCCAGGCTCCAGCATTAGTGCCCTTAGGTTAAAAAAGAAGCTACAGAGGGAGAGAGAAGACCCTCAATTGTCTCTCCAAGGAGAGGAAGGCTCATGGAAGGATAGAAAAAAACCTGAGAGTGATTTTATCAAAGAGATGACAATACAAAGGACAAGTTCGGCAGACAAGCCCTCACATATTTATATGCACACACTTGCTGCATCATCCCAACCACTGGAAATGTATAAACTCAGATTGTGAGCCCTCTTTAAATACATTATGAAACAATCACTGAGTTATCAATGTGTGAAATAGTAGATGTTTTAATGACAAGTTGTTATAATGCACTAGGAGAGACTGTCCTCCCAACGAGACCCAATGTTTGTGGAAGGTTGGGGAATTAAAATACAAAAAACCTGCCAGCTCCCGGAGGACAAACAGGTAAACACTGGGGTCTTCCTCCTCTTAGTCTCTTAGCTTTCTTGATTTCTCTGTACACTTCATTCAAAAGGTTTTCTGTGTCCCTGTGTCTGTGTTTGTGCAGAAAACTTTATGTATGAATGCAGTTCCTGAGAGATAGCCAGAGGTCGGTGAGGCCCTCAAAGGGATTTTAGCAGTGTGGACCCTGAAGAGCCAATAAGGCACACTCTGCCGGGACTATTTAACATGTTGTGTTTGCTCGCTATAGTGGTGTCTTTGTTTTGTATGAACAGAAATTCAACTGCATCCTGTTTTGTATTCGTATGTTTTGTATTGTTTATATAACTTTTATTCATGTATCTTTTCTTTTAATGTTTATTATCTTTGCTTTTTAATGACTGTTTTTAAATGCCATTTTCTTAATGTCTTTCATTTTTGTAAAGCACTTTGGGCTACCTTGTGTTGAAAGGTGCGATGTAAATAAACTTGCCTTGCCTTGTAGTTAAAATGTGTCTTTTGAAAGATTCCTCAAAGGTTTCTGATGATCTGAGACTGAGGCCGTTTCTCAATCTCGAGGATACTGGCTTCCAAGCCAATATTTCAAGGATGCTACGTCATCGAATGCCGCCGAAGGACTGTTCCAATCTCCAGCATACTTGGAATTCCACCGAGGCCGCGTCCTTGGTTTGGGGGAAATTTCGAGGCTGCACATGGGTAGACTTCGCGTCCTTAAAATCCCCACAATGCTTTGCGCACGGACCAATTTCAAAAACCCTTGCGGAGAATGGCTGAACCGATGCAGCACACATTTAAATGTAAGTATGTATGTGGGCGTAGAACATGTGTTGGTAAATATGTTACTTTGTTACATTTGTTTGTTATCACCAAAAATGTGTTCTGTGAAAGTAAAGCAAGTTCAATAATTAATAGACATCATGAGGTATTTATTTTCGGTAGCAGTTTATGTTGAAAACGTTAGAGAGAGTGGCACACTTGTTAGTCTGTTCCATTCTTCTTCGTTTTCCGAAGCCGTGGCATGGAAGTATACTTGCTTCGTTTCTGAAGGAAGTGACTTGGAAGTACGACACCAGCCAAAGCAGCCTCCTCGAGATTTGAGAAACGGCCTGAGGGTCTGTTTCTCAATGTCGAGGAATTGCTGCTCCAGAGCCACAATTTCAAGGATACTACGTCATCGAGACGTCCCGCCGAAGGACTGTTCCAATGTCCAGCACATACTTGGAATTCTACACAGCGGCGTACTTCGTTGCAGGAAATTTCGGAGGCTGCAACCATAGCGCTCCAGGCGGAACCAATTTCCAAATCTTTGGCGGACAATCGTGGCTCCATTGTAGAGAGGGCGACCTCGCATACGACGCACCACCTGCACACCTGCTAGGAAGGATTCTTGCCTCGCTTGAAGCTGCTTCTGAAGGACCTGACATCGGAGGTAAGCCTCCTCGACATTGAGAAACACCCAGAGCTTTTCATCTTCTTCAGGAAGCTCCACTAGGGTGTGCAATGGTTCAACTAAATTCCAAATGAGTGATTTTTGGACATTTGGGGGTAATAGGTTATAAAATACAAAACCGACACATTGAGAAACATTATTTTTTTGTTTCTGGCGCCACCTGGCGAATATACTCCACATTGTATTTTTCTTCTTCGCTCCTGATTTGTCTCCACCCAAGGAAAATCGGTTAATTACGCCGCTACAATTCTACAGTGAGTTCACAAGCTATTGTCCTGAGTCAGAACTTTTTCTGTATTTCTGATATTAATGCTCAAAAAACTAAAACAAAGGAAATTGAAGTGGGCCCTGTAATTCCTTTTCAATTGTTCTTGTCACAAACTCTTCTTGTTATCTGGGTGGTCTTGCAAGTTCCCGATACATTCTCAGTAATGTGGTTATGTGAGGAACTTTATATACACTTTTTAAAAAGAAGCAAACATCTCTTGTGACAGTAATCACAGAATAACCTCATATGCCTTTAATTCCGATGCATGTTTACAACAATGATTTATTGTTTAAATAAAAAGTAATTTATTTATCAAAATCCAAGACCATTTGTATAATTCATTCCTCCAGTGGTGGATATAAATATTTGAACAATGGCAATGAAAATTTAATAGAATATTCTCAACATGCACACACGCGCTCTTTTGACAAACAAGTACATTCGTTCATTCAGGTGAAAAAGATCACATTCTGCCAAATCTGAAACATTTTAAATATAATATAATAGTGAATAAAGGACTTCCAAACATCACAACTGAAAGAAGTTATTCCAACCTGTAATAATTAGTTTAAAAGGTCCAAGTGCTGTTATTTTGAAAACACAAAACAGATAATATTTCTCTTCAGACAATAAAGAGAATTTCTCCAGACAGAAGTCTCCGGTCCTCCAGATGCTCCGATCACATTTGTATCGAGGAAATTTCAAAGTGTGCGATCCACTTTGAAAAATCTCTTTCTCTGCTAGATAGCCAACATGCTTCGGAGAAAATATATTAGAGCCACATTCGTACCGCAATAAATTGCACAGTGGGCAGAAAATATAACAGTGTTTCATTCTGGAGGGGTTATCCTTTCATTTGATCAAATGTGACCAAATGCTTACTGGATCATAGCTCTCCCAGTGGCAACAAAAATAAACGGTACACATTCATAGCAGTTAATAACAGGGTTCCTTGGTTGCACTGGGCAATGCATGTAACGTACTTCTGGATTCATGCAAGCTGACACAATCTTTTTACATTTTTGCATATTGTCGACACAAAAAACACACCTTTCCAGTGACGAACCGACCTGTTGGAAACGGATGCATTGCTCATGAGTATGCGGTTGCAGAAGGGGGCGGAAAGTTCCTGGCAAATTTCCATGGGACGTTCAATCTGGAGCGACACACTTCCTCGGACACAATATTTCGATCCGCAAATTAAACAAAAAAACCATGAATCTTTTTTTTTTTTTTTAAGTAGAACCAGAACAAGTTTAACCTTATTTTATCTCTGAACATTATTTGTTTACATTGAAAACGAAAACAGGAAATGTTTGACGTTAAATGTTACTCATCCCCCCCCAACCCAATCATTCAAAAATGAACCAAAAATGCACCCCCCATTCCAAAAATCCCACAAAGTCCGCGTGTAAACGAAACGAGCCCTTCTCCCTCCAAAAGTGCCATTAAACATGCAAATCTTCTTCAAGCGATCCTCTGCCATTTTTGCTAAAGCTTTCAGTCAACGGGCTCTTCTGGGCTCCTAATCAACCACACACTCTGAGTCCTTCCTCTTTCAGTGTCACTGTCCAGCCTTGTTGAGGATGGCTCCGTGTTACGCTCAAACAGCCTTGGTTTGCCCGAATGCCAACCAGCTGTTCCACTCTCATATTTGTAGCCTGTTGCGAACCTTTGTGTGGTCTCTATAGCCGATTGCAGTATAGCAGTGTGCTATGGCATGGATATCAAGTGTACTTGAATGGCTTGTTTGGTTTTAGTCAAGATTATGCCAAAATATTACTTTCCCAACTTATTTAAGTTCCCTATGAAGAGCCAACCTTGCAATTTTGGAAAATTCCCAGTTTTCCCCATAAAATTTCCCCGTGAAAGTTTCCATCTTTAAACATTTCCCGGAATTATGCAACCCTACTCATGAGTGACGCTGCTCATTAGTCCTCTTCCTCTCATGAAACGGTGAACGGACACCATCTTTTCGCAGGAGGTTGAGCTCTGCCCTCTGTTTACTGAAGCCACGCGTCACACAAAGCTCTCCTCTCATGTTGGAGCCAAAACAGCAGGAAGACCGAGCCGCAGTTGATCAGCTGCTGGTGGTCCGCCGCCTCGATGCTGTCTGGACACCCGCTGCCCAGTCCTCCTCAAGGCCGCCTGACCACACACACACACACACACAGCACACACCACACACCACCACACACACACACACACACACACATCAGTATGTATTGAGTAAAACCAGCAAAATCAATAATGCCATGATAATAATTCGCCTATAATGTATATATACAGTATATACCCATATGTATCTATTCATACTGCATATACTTTAGTCTTGTATATGTAATACTAGTATCCTTCTATAGATTGCAGCTGCACTTGCACTGCGGTTTGGTAAATCTCTCTCANTTGTCTGCTGGAGTCAAGCAGGATCTCTGTAACCTGCAATATGGCCAGCTTTTCTACAAGCTGGACGTGAAATGTGCTCCTAGTCTGAGTGGAGCTCTATGCAAGGACTATAAAGCCTCTCCTATGAGTCAAAGTCTGAAGGAGCTGTACGTGTCCCGTCATTCACATCCAGTTCCAAAATCTATTCTGTTAGAGATGGGTGTGTTTGTGGATGAACCAAGCCCACTGAGCAACCAGAGTCTTACTGCAAAGATTCAGAAGTTTGATGTGAAATAACTGCGTTGTCTTTTTGTTTTTCGCGCTTACATAGCAACATTATTCTTCCTATTATGTACATAGATGATACATTAAGCAAGACCATTACTCATTCACTGACATCCGTGATTAAATATCTAATGATCAGATAGAATGAGATGTCAATGTATGTTGGGAGCAATTGGTTTATGTGCTTAAAAAGCAGCTGCAACTCAATTATGATTTTAATAAGGCATTTTACAGTTTCTGTAGCACGTGTTAGACAGAATAGTCAACGTAGGCTCACATCAGCAGAAGATCCAAAAGGACTGAAATAGATTGCCAAAATGTTTAAAACAGTTATTTTATTGTTTATGCTGTATCTGTGTTTTGGTATTATACCCATCATTCTGTTGACTATGGCTTGAGAACAGCAAAGCATATTTTAAAAGTCCTTGCTCCGGATGCAAACTTTTGAGTTTGAGTCACTGCAGTTTTAACTTATTCATATATTTATTTCTTTTTTGACATACCTTAACATAAAAACGTATAGTGCATTTTGGTAGTTTTTTTATTATATTTAAAAGCAACATTTACTTGTGTGATTTGTGTATTGTAATCATGTCATTATTTTAAGGATTTTTGTTTATTCATAATAAAAGCATTTCATCTGAACCGTTTGTGGTACTTGATGTTTCATTTTCAATTGAGTGTTTGTGTTTCTAAGGTGTTTGTATTGTCTGACATTAGAAAGGAAGTGGTAAAACTTCCTGTGTACGGATGAGGCTTTTCTGATGCCGTTATATAGAACAATGTGTGAACAATGTTTGTACTCAGATGCTTCTATACAGCAACATATTACATATCATTTATTGGATTAAAACAGTACATCACTTTATTTTTTTAATTGTAAAACATTGAAGCACATTTCATGTACTTAATAAAAATGCATGTTCATCAATCACCACACATTTTATTCAGTGTTGACAGAATAAGACTGGTGGGGCACTGCACATTCAGGACCAACAAGACAAACAAGTAACACATTACACTTACAGAAGAAGACAAAGGAGGTTATGAAAAATAAAGCCTAAGACAAAACAGACAACACAACAGGACAGATGAAGAGAAACACACAGGAAGCTTTAAAAACACATGTAACTGAAGACATTATGTAAATGGTCCACTTTAAGAAGCCCAGGTTATTTGAATTAGCCTAGTTAAAGACAGAGACAAAGAGGTAGGGGGAGGAACATAAAGATATTGAATCAGGAAAAATAGATGAATTTGATTGGTTGATGACCGACACAAGTATGCAAAACATATTATACAGTGGCAATGAACTCATGCACTTCCTCCCTCATAAATGTAAATAACTGACCTTCCCGCACCCGCATCGTAAACCCACTAAACATTCTCACCTTTGTATCCATTTCCAAGGGCAGCGTTCCCTCTGTCATATTTGCCAGCTTGCTCTCCTGCGAAAGGATCAACCCAGTTCAATTTTATAAATGTGTAGATAAGGAAATGGCCGCAGCAAGAACAGGTTTGGACTTGTATTAGCGTACTCAGCCACACGCTATGCAGGCCAAAGACCCTTGAGTGGGAAATAATATATAATGCATGCTGTTGTACCTTTGGTGTGACAGCAATTTAAGTAAAAGCTTATGTGCATGTAAAAAAAGGAGTATAAAGTATAGAGTTCCTTTTCCATAGCCTCACTTTGTTTGTTTCAGACAGGAAAAGAGCACACATATTTCGACACATGCAAGACCGCACACTAGTTAGTTATGAAAGCTAATTTGTAGCACTGAAAATTATGCAGTACACTGTAATAGTGCAAGAAGACATGACTAATAAGGTCTCCAGAAACAGCAAGGTGAGAGGAAGTTAATTAGATCATTAATGAGGAAGTCTGAGGGTTTCTTGCTTACCCAGGACATCTTGAGTTGCTCCTAGCTGTGCACCAAATCCTTAACAAACATAATCAAACAAGTCTTATATTTAATACAGAAATAATACACAAAATTATCTTTTGTTATGATATTTGGACTTTGGGAATAGCTGAATAATGTGTGCAGCTAAAGTGTGTTCTTAAAAATTGTAATCTCAATTATGCAAGATATACGTATACTAAAATACCTATTACTGCCATGCTCATGTGGCCTCATCTGTGAAGTGCAATCTTATGTTCTAGTAGTTGGACAAAAGACATACAGTAGGGCCTTGGGAATTATGTCAACGGTGTGCATGTGTTTCTCTGGGTGAGAGAGTACAATCAAAGTCACCTGTTTGCTGAGGTCCATATCCTGCAGCAGCTCCTAAAACAAAATATGAAGAAACTTGAAATCCATTACAAGGTACATTTTTAAAACATTTTATACATACATTACATTTTCATATATTGTTTTTTTTCGTAAATTAATAAGCAATGTTATCCATTTGCTCGATTATCAGCTTTACTGGGGTTGAAACCTGACTGGGACATATCTGTTTAAATACAAATTAACCAACAGCACGTATACTTTAGAGAAAAAAAGCCAAACAGTTTACCATCAGACCGTTTCTCACAGTTTGTAGCTCTCTCATACACACACTAACACCCGCTCACTCCTTCTCACCATATTTGTTGGCGGTTTTGGCACCTTCAGCTCCGAGGTTGAGCTGCTGAGCAGGATACGGGTAGCCACCGTCACCTGGGGGGGGGGGGGCAATGTTATACGTCATATATTCCACTGTTCTGCTAGCATGTTTAGGTAAACTGATAGGATGGGTGAGGGCCTAGATGTTGATTTTACTTTTGTTATTGTTTTGTACAGCCATTTAAGGTGTTGTGACAGGGGTAAATATAGTGACAGGAGTAAATGTGGTCTTACAAATCTCGGGCTAACGTTACTTGCAAGGGCGATGAAAGCGGTGTCCATTACTTTTGTAAATCCAGACACCATAGAGTACATTAATATGCTAACACCATGGCAATGGCGTTTTTCATGTTCAGTTAACCCTTACTGTAGTAAGTTCCAGTAATACTAGAATTAGTTGTATTAGTATCGTAGTTTCGATAAGAAGTAATGTTGCAATTATTACCGAAATAAATTGTGGTACCACTTTACAATAAGACTACCCTTATAAAGGAATCATAAAGGGTTTATAATTAGGTTATGAATTAGGTTGTAAACACTTTATTAATCATTAAGAACCATTTATAAACCAGTTCTAATATAGGCACACATACATCAACACATGAGCATGTGTTGATGTATGTGTGCCTATATTAGAACTGGTTTATAAATGGTTCTTAATGATTAATAAAGTGTTTACAACCTAATTCATAACCTAATTATAAACCNTTTACTCGTTACTTTACTCGTTACTTTACTCGTTACTTTACTCTTTACTTTACTCTTTACTTTACTCATTACTTTACTCTTTACTTTACTCGTTACTTTACTCGCAGGACCGGCCCGCCCCTCCCTACAGGCAGATCACGCAGACTGCGGCGCA